AATCACTGGCGTAAATATTCAAGAGTACAACGTTCTCAATGCGCTCAGGTTCTTCTACAAAGATCGTCCCGGTCAGTCGGTGGGGGACACTCAAGGTGGACACCTAACCACCATCCGAGGACTGAATGAGGAATATAATCATATAATTGCCGTGGACCTGTATTTTTGTCATCGCGTGATGTGCGCGATTCAATTCTTTTTCCCGGGAGGTCAGACGAAGGTATTGGGTAATAGGTCAAACGCAAATGCTCTGAAGATTAGTTGCGGACCGATTGGAAAGAATAATGATTTTAAGTTGACGGGCATAAAAATGGCGAGCTCAACTGCCGATTCACCGGAAAGTTGTCTTGCGGTCGGATACGTGGCATTGTGTTTTGAATATGTACGAGTAGAAAAGGAAAGTGAAAATTAGTTTGCGGTATTACGCTATTTTAAAAAAGATATTTATTGGTGCTCATATCATTTAATGCATATTTATCATAATACATATTTTTACCGCATGATAATTTATTTTAACTAATAAAAATGAATTTGTATTTATATTGTAGTACAGTAGTTCGTAGATAACACGTGATATTTCAATTTTTTTTCTTGTAAATATAAATTTATATGCAGTATATTAAAAAAAAAAAAAAATCTTTTTATATTAGTAAACAGATTAATCATATCGGTGGATTAGATTTTTTGAATCTTTTTTTTGAATTTAATAAATAATTTATAATTTATAAAACTATTAATATAAAAAATAAAACAAACTTATTTAACTTTGTGTTCAAAAATATGTAAAATCGTGAATTTTATTAACAATAATAATAAATAAATGCTTTATAGATTCAAATACTTGTTTTTTAATTTTTTATAATAATTACTTAATATACTGTATATATTATTTATAATTTTATTAATTTTGATTTTATATTTATTTATATTTATTTAAAAAATTATATTAATTATATTAATTTTTAATATTATAAATTAATTAAACATATTGTATATTATATAATTATTTATTAAATTCTATTTAACAAGTATTAAAATTGAAACTTAATTTAATAAACGTCTTGCATTTAATGCCCGTTCACATTAAAAAAAAAAAAAATTGAAACTTAATTATACAATATATATTAAAAATAATTTTTATAGATAATTTTAAAAAATTATATAATAATATATAATATATTATAAAAAATTTTTAATATTTTTTTTTCTGTGATATAAATATAAATAATTTTTTCAAAATAAAAACAAAATTCATATAAAATTTTAAATATATGAATAAATTTAGTTAATTCTATTTTTTATAAACAAATCTTTATTTATATTATTTTTAAAAAAATATTATAATATATATAATAATAAATATATATTATATTTGTAAAATAAAAAATTACTTCTGAAAATAAAATATATTTCAAAATTAATATAAATATATTAATTATTTATTATAATTTTATAAATTTAATTTCAAATATAATAATTTTTTTAAAAAATTTAAATATTATAATAATTTTAATAATAAATTTATATATAGAATATATTATTTTAAAAAATATAATAAAGATATTTAAATGAAATGAATAACTCTTTTCGCTGATCCCCTTGCCAATCCAAAAAACAGACGTTCTCAAAAATAATTTTTATTTTTGATAATAAAGTCTATACACTTTCTTTAAAAACATTACTT